TATTTCCAAATACATAAACATTTTCAACTCTACCCAAAATTACAACCAAATAATTGCAGCATTACCGCAAAAATGGAAGAGGAAAGTGGAAGGGGGAAAAAGTAAGGAACTTGTCTGTCGGCCTTGCATTAAAGAACATAATTGGGTAAAGAAAATTGTGATAAATAAAAAAGTATACCAGTTTCATTTAAGGACCAAAGGATTGACAGCCGTCCCATATAGATTGCAAAATAGTTGGGAAGAGATTTTTGACGTACCGATTCCATGGCATAGTGTTCTGTAAGTCGCTCTGGATAAGAGCGTCTGCTAAATGACGTAAATGTATGTATGAACTGATACGCAAAACGACGCCGGATTCAAAACGTAGAATCTTTCAATTTAAATCATTATACAGATTTCTTGCTACCAATATGATGTTATTTATATGGGGGATACAATCTACCCAGCTCTGCAGATTTGGCTGCGAAGAGACAGAATCAATAGATCATTTGTTTTGGTACTGTCCATTTGTAGCTTGTTTTTGGTCACAGGTCCAGGAATGGCTAAAGGATTGCAATATTTACCTGGAGCTAACCCTGCAGATAGCACTACTGGGTGATCTGAAAAGTCATAGTCAATCGATCAATAATATAATAATACTTTTAGCAAAAATGTTTATTTACAATCTGTAGAAACAATGAGAATAGAAATGTTCAGAACTTTTGTGAAACATCACAGTACAGTTGAAAAATATATGGCAAATAGAAATCCAATATGGATGGTGTTAAGAGATAGATGGGAGGTGTTGAATGGAGCTGAAGGATGGGACTAATAACAACTAACAACAACTAATAATAACAAGATAACTAATAATGTAAGCATACTGTGTCCATAATAAGTATATACAGTGGGGGAAAAAAAGTATTTAGTCAGCCACCAATTGTGCAAATTCTCCCACTTAAAAAGATGAGAGAGGCCTGTAATTTTCATCGTAGGTACACGTCAACTATGACAGACAAAATGAGAAAGAGAAATCCAGAAAATCACATTGTAAGATTTTTAATGAATTTATTTGCAAATTATGGTGGAAAATAAGTATTTGGTCAATAACAAAAGTTTCTCAATACTTTGTTATATACCCTTTGTTGGCAATGACACAGGTCAAACAGTTTCTGTAAGTCTTCACAAGGTTTTCACACACTGTTGCTGGTATTTTGGCCCATTCCTCCATGCAGATCTCCTCTAGAGCAGTGATGTTTTGGGGCTGTCGCTGGGCAACACGGACTTTCAACTCCCTCCAAAGATTTTCTATGGGGTTGAGATCTGGAGACTGGCTAGGCCACTCCAGGACCTTGAAATGCTTCTTACGAAGCCACTCCTTCGTTGCCCGGGCGATGTGTTTGGGATCATTGTCATGCTGAAAGACCCAGCCACGTTTCATCTTCAATGCCCTTGCTGATGGAAGGAGGTTTTCACTCAAAATCTCACGATACATGGCCCCATTCATTCTTTCCTTTACACGGATCAGTCGTCCTGGTCCCTTTGCAGAAAAACAGCCCCAAAGCATGATGTTTCCACCCCCATGCTTCACAGTAGGTATGGTGTTCTTTGGATGCAACTCAGCATTCTTTGTCCTCCAAACACGGCGAGTTGAGTTTTTACCAGAAAGTTCTATTTTGGTTTCATCTGACCATATGACATTCTCCCAATCCTCTTCTGGATCATCCAAATGCACTCGAGCAAACTTCAGACGGGCCTGGACATGTACTGGCTTAAGCAGGGGGACACGTCTGGCACTGCAGGATTTGAGTCCCTGGCGGCGTAGTGTGTTACTGATGGTAGGCTTTGTTACTTTGGTCCCAGCTCTCTGCAGGTCATTCACTAGGTCCCCCCGTGTGGTTCTGGGATTTTTGCTCACCGTTCTTGTGATCATTTTGACCCCACGGGGTGAGATCTTGCGTGGAGCCCCAGATCGAGGGAGATTATCAGTGGTCTTGTATGTCTTCCATTTCCTAATAATTGCTCCCACAGTTGATTTCTTCAAACCAAGCTGCTTACCTATTGCAGATTCAGTCTTCCCAGCCTGGTGCAGGTCTACAATTTTGTTTCTGGTGTCCTTTGACAGCTCTTTGGTCTTGGCCATAGTGGAGTTTGGAGTGTGACTGTTTGAGATTGTGGACAGGTGTCTTTTATACTGATAACAAGTTCAAACAGGTGCCATTAATACAGGTAACGAGTGGAGGACAGAGGAGCCTCTTAAAGAAGAAGTTACAGGTCTGTGAGAGCCAGAAATCTTGCTTGTTTGTAGGTGACCAAATACTTATTTTCCACCATAATTTGCAAATAAATTCATAAAAAATCCTACAATGTGATTTTCTGGATTTTTTTTCTCAATTTGTCTGTCATAGTTGACGTGTACCTATGATGAAAATTACAGGCCTCTCTCATCTTTTTAAGTGGGAGAACTTGCACAATTGGTGGCTGACTAAATACTTTTTTTCCCCACTGTAGGTTATAGGTTGAGAGCTTTTGTGAAAGAGCACAGTTAGAAAGATATGGCGTATAGAAGCAAACCAGATGGACGTCATGAAAACGATCAGAGAGGTTGAGGGTAGAGGAAGTTCAGAAGTAAAAACAAACAAATATAAATATTGTAGAATTTGACTGTGTCCATAAAATGTATATAGTATTTATAAGCTGGAAGTAGAGGCCTAAGCGTTGTTGTTCACTAGTTTACTCCAATTAGGGAAGGGGTGGTGGGGTTGGAAAGTAATAAAGGGAAATATATTTTTAAAAAGGATGTGTGTATATATATATATGTATATGTATGTGTATGTATATGTATATATATTTGCGAGAAAAAAAACATATGGGGGATTGGAAGTGATGCAGACAATTACATTGATTGAAGTTATAATCTATCTGCAATATTAAAGCTGATCTACCCCCCAAAAAATAAATGTAAAAAATTAAAATATATAAATATTTCAGCTACTTGTCTTGTCAAATAAAATATATCTGAATACTTATTTTGAATGTATGTGAAAGTAATTGAGATACTTTTGTGTATGTGGACACCTGCTCGTCAAACATCTAATTCCAAAATCATGGACATTAATATGGAGTTGGTCCCCCCTTTGCTGCTATAACAGCCTCCACTCTTCTGGGAAGGCTTTCCACTAGATGTTGGAACATTGCTGCAGGGACTTGCTTCCATTCAGCCACAAGAGCATTAGTGAGGTCGGGCACTGATGCTGGGCGATTAGGCCTGGCTCGCAGTCGGCGATCCAATTCATCCCAAAGGTGTTCGATGGGGTTGAGGTCAGGGCTCTGTGCAGGCCTGTCAAGTTCTTCCACACTGATCTCGACAAACCATTTCTGTATGAACCTCGCTTTGTGCACGGGGGCATTGTCATGCTGAAACAGGAAAGGGCCTTCCCCAAACTGTTGCCACAAAGTTGGAAGCACAGAATCGTCTAGAATGTAATTGTATGCTGTAGAGTTCAGATTTCCCTTCACTGGAACTAAGGGGCCTAGGCCTGAACCATTAAAAACAGCCCCAGATCATTACTCCTCCTCCACTAAACATTACAGTTGGCACTATGCATTGGGGCAGGTAGCGTTCTCCTGGCATCCGCCAAACCCAGATTCGGACTGCCAGACGGTGAAGCGTGATTCATCACTCCAGAGAATGCGTTTCCACTGCTCCAGAGTCCATTGGCTGTGAGCTTTACATCACTCCAGCCGACGCTTGGCATTGCGCATGATGATCTTAGGCTTGTGTGCGGCTGCTCGGCCATGGAAACCCATTTCATGAAGCTCCCGATGAACAGTTCTTGTGCTGACGTTGCTTCCAGAGGCAGTTTGGAACTCGATAGTGAGTGTTGCAACTGAGGACAGATTGTTTACGCGCTTCAGCACTCGGTGGTCCCATTCTGTGAGCTTGTGTGGCCTACCACTTCACGGCTGAGCCGTTGTTGCTCCAAGACGTTTCCACTTCACAATAACAGCACTTACAGTTGGCACCCTATTCCCTATAGAGGGCCCTGGTCAGATGTAGTGCACTATGTATAATATAGGGTGCCTTTGTTGTTAACTATAGTGTGGTGACAGGACAGGACCGGCAGCAACACTATAGAGTGGTGACAGGACCGGCAGCAACACTATAGAGTGGTGACAGGACAGGACCGGCAGCAACACTATAGAGTGGTGACAGGACCGGCAGCAACACTATAGAGTGGTGACAGGACAGGACCGGCAGCAGCACTATAGAGTGGTGACAGGACAGGACCGGCAGCAACACTATAGAGTGGTGACAGGACAGGACCGGCAGCGACACTATAGAGTGGTGACAGGACCGGCAGCAACACTATAGAGTGGTGACAGGACAGGCCCGGCAGCAACACTATAGAGTGGTGACAGGACAGGACCGGCAGCAGCACTATAGAGTGGTGACAGGACGCCGGCAGCAACACTATAGAGTGGTGACAGGACAGGACCGGCAGCAGCACTATAGAGTTGGTGACAGGACAGGACCGGCAGCAACACTATAGAGTGGTGACAGGACAGGACCGGCAGCGACACTATAGAGTGGTGACAGGACAGGACCGGCAGCAACACTATAGAGTGGTGACAGGACAGGACCGGCAGCAACACTATAGAGTGGTGACGACAGGACCGGCAGCGACACTATAGAGTGGTGACAGGACAGGACCGGCAGCACACTATAGAGTGGTGACAGGACGACCGCAGCAACACTATAGGGTGGTGACAGGACAGGACGGAAGCGACACTATAGAGTGGTGACAGGACGGCGCAGCAACACTATAGAGTGGTGACAGGACAGGACCGGCAGCACACTATAGAGTGGTGACAGGACAGGACCGGCAGCACACTATAGAGTGGTGACAGGACAGGACCGGCAGCGACACTATAGAGTGGTGACAGGACCGGCAGCAACACTATAGAGTGGTGACAGGACAGGACCGGCAGCGACACTATAGAGTGGTGACAGGACAGGACCGCAGCAACACTATAGAGTGGTGACAGGACAGGACCGGCAGCAACACTATAGAGTGGTGACAGGACAGGACCGGCAGCAACACTATAGAGTGGTGACAGGACAGGACCGGCAGCGACACTATAGAGTGGTGACAGGACAGGACCGGCAGCAACACTATAGAGTGGTGACAGGACAGGACCGGCAGCAACACTATAGAGTGGTGACAGGACAGGACCGGCAGCAACACTATAGAGTGGTGACAGGACAGGACCGGCAGCAACACTATAGAGTGGTGACAGGACAGGACCGGCAGCAACACTATAGAGTGGTGACAGGACAGGACCGGCAGCGACACTATAGAGTGGTGACAGGACCGGACCGGCAGCGACACTATAGAGTGGTGACAGGACAGGACCGGCAGCGACACTATAGAGTGGTGACAGGACAGGACCGGCAGCAACACTATAGAGTGGTGACAGGACAGGACCGGCAGCAACACTATAGAGTGGTGACAGGACCGGCAGCGACCTATGAGTGGTGACAGACCGCAGCAACACTATAGAGTGGTGACAGGACAGGACCGGCAGCAACACTATAGAGTGGTGACAGGACCGGCGCAGCAACACTATAGAGTGGTGACAGGACAGGACCGGCAGCAACACTATAGAGTGGTGACAGGACAGGACCGGCAGCAACACTATAGAGTGGTGACAGGACCGGCAGCAACACTATAGAGTGGTGACAGGACAGGACCGGCAGCAACACTATAGAGTGGTGACAGGACAGGACCGGCAGCAACACTATAGAGTGGTGACAGGACCGGCAGCAACACTATAGAGTGGTGACAGGACAGGACCGGCAGCAACACTATAGAGTGTGGACCGGACAGGACCGGCAGCAACACTATAGAGTGGTGACAGGACAGGACCGGCAGCAACACTATAGAGTGTGACAGGACGGACCGGCAGCAACACTATAGAGTGGTGACAGGACAGCGGCAGCACACTATAGAGTGGTGACAGGACAGGACCGGCAGCAACACTATAGAGTGGTGACAGGACGGACCGGCAGCAACACTATAGAGTGGTGACAGGACCGGCAGCAACACTATAGAGTGGTGACAGGACAGGACCGGCAGCAACACTATAGAGTGGTGACAGGACAGGACCGGCAGCAACACTATAGAGTGGTGACAGGACAGGACCGGCAGCAACACTATAGAGTGGTGACAGGACAGGACCGGCAGCAACACTATAGAGTGGTGACAGGACCGGCAGCAACACTATAGAGTGGTGACAGGACCGGCAGCAACACTATAGAGTGGTGACAGGACAGGACCGGCAGCAACACTATAGAGTGGTGACAGGACAGGACCCGGCAGCAACCCTATAGAGTGGTGACAGGACAGGACCGGCAGCAACACTATAGAGTGGTGACAGGACAGGACCGGCAGCAACACTATAGAGTGGTGACAGGACAGGACCGGCAGCAACACTATAGAGTGGTGACAGGACAGGACCGGCAGCAACACTATAGAGTGGTGACAGGACAGGGACCGGCAGCAACACATAGAGTGGTGACAGGACCGGACCGGCAGCAACACTATAGAGTGGTGACAGGACCGGCCAGCAACACTATAGAGTGGTGACAGGACAGGACCGGGCAGCAACACTATAGAGTGGGTGACAGGACAGGACCGGCAGCAACACTATAGAGTGGTGACAGGACAGGACCGGCAGCAACACTATAGAGTGGTGACAGGACAGGACCGGCAGCAACACTATAGAGTGGTGACAGGGGGACCGGACCGGCAGCAACACTATAGAGTGGTGACAGGACCGGACGGCAGCAACACTATAGAGTGGTGACAGGACAGGACCGGCAGCAACACTATAGAGTGGTGACAGGAACCGGCAGCAACACTATAGAGTGGTGACAGGACAGGACCGGCAGCAACACTATAGAGTGGTGACAGGACAGGACCGGCAGCAACACTATAGGTGGTGACAGGACAGGACCGGCAGCGACACTATAGAGTGGTGACAGGACCGGCAGCAACACTATAGAGTGGTGACAGGACAGGACCGGCAGCAACACTATAGAGTGGTGACAGGACAGGACCGGCAGCGACACTATAGAGTGGTGACGGACAGGACCGGCAGCAACACTATAGAGTGGTGACAGGACAGGACCGGCAGCAACACTATAGAGTGGTGACAGGACAGGACCGGCAGCAACACTATAGAGTGGTGACAGGACAGGACCGGCAGACACTATAGAGTGGTGACAGGACAGGACCGGCAGCAACACTATAGAGTGGTGACAGGACAGGACCGGCAGCACACTATAGAGTGGTGACAGGACAGGACCGGCAGCGACACTATAGAGTGGTGACACAGGACGCGGCAGCAACACTATAGAGTGGTGACAGGACAGGACCGGCAGCAACACTATAGAGTGGTGACAGGACAGGACCGGCAGCAACACTATAGAGTGGTGACAGGGACCGGCAGCACACTATAGAGTGGTGACAGGACAGGACCGGCAGCACACTATAGAGTGGTGACAGGCAGGACCGCAGCAACACTAGAGTGGTGACGTATGGACCGGCAGCAACACTATAGAGTGGTGACAGGCGGACCGGCAGCAACACTATAGAGTGGGTGACAGGAGGACCGGCAGCAACACTATAGAGTGGTGACAGGACAGGACCGGCAGCAACACTATAGAGTGGTACTGGACCGGCAGCCAACACTATAGAGTGGTGACTGACAGGACCGGCAGCAACACTATAGAGTGGTGACAGGACGGCCGGCGCAACACTATAGAGTGGTGACAGGACTGGCAGCAACACTATAGAGTGGTGACAGGACAGGACCGGCAGCAACACTATAGAGTGGTGGACAGGACCGCAGCCACACTATAGAGTGGTTGACAGGACGGACCCACAACCTATAGAGTGGTTGACAGGACGGACCGGCAGCACACTATAGAGTGTGAGGACAGACCGGCAGCAACACTATAGAGTGGTGACAGGACCGGACCCGGCAGCAACACTATAGAGTGGTGACAGGACCGGCAGCACCTATAGAGTGGTGACAGGACTGGCAGCAACACTATAGAGTGGTGACGACGGACCGGCAGCACACTATAGAGTGGTGACAGGACAGGACCGGCAGCGACACTATAGAGTGGTGACTGGAGGACCGGCAGCACACTATGAGTGTGTACAGGACCGGCAGCACCTATAGAGTGTGCGGGACTGGCAGCGACACTATGAGTGGTGACAGGACCGGACCGCAGCAACCATATGAGTGGTGACAGGACAGGACCGGCACACCACTATAGAGTGTTAAGGACCGCAGCACACTATAGAGTGGTGACAGGACCTGGCAGCAACCTATTGAGTGGTGACAGGACAGGACCGGCAGCACACTATTAGAGTGTTGACAGGACAGTGGCCGCAGCACACTATAGAGTGTGAATGGACAGGACCGGCAGCACCCATATGAGTGGTGAGACGGACCGGCACGCAACACTATAGAGTTGGTGACAGGACTGGCCAACACTATAGAGTGGTTGACAGGAGGACCGGCAGCAACACTATAGGTGGTTGACAGGACAGGGGCCGTCAGCAACACTATAGAGTGGTGACAGGACAGGACCGGCAGCCACACTGATAGATGGTACGGACAGGACCGGCAGCACACTATAGAGTGGTGACAGGACATGGACCGGCAGCAACACTATAGAGTGGTGACAGGACAGGACGGCAGCACACTATAGAGTGGTATGGAAGGACCGGCAGCAACACTATAGAGTGGTGACAGGTGTTATTGGGGTTGGCCCCTCTCTCCCCTTGGTGTTGTTATTGGGGTTGGCCCCTCTCTCCATTGGTGTTGTTATTGGGGTTGGCCCCTCTCTCCCATTGGTGTTATTGGGGTTGGCCCCTCTCTCCATTGGTGGTTGTTATTGGGGTTGGCCCCTCTCTCCCATTGGTGTTGTTATTGGGGGTTGGCCCCTCTCTCCCATTGGTGTTGTTATTGGGGTTGGCCCTCTCTCCCATTGGTGTTGTTATTGGGGTTGGGCCCCTCTCTCCCATTGGTGTTGTTATTGGGGTTGGCCCCTCTCTCCCATTGGTGTTGTTATTGGGGTTGGCCCCTCTCTCCCATTGGTGGTGTTATTGGGGTTGGCCCCTCTCTCCATTGGTGTTGTTATTGGGGTTGGCCCCTCTCTCCCATTGGTGTTGTTATTGGGGTTGGCCCCTCTTTTCCCATTGGTGGTGTTATTGGGGTTGGCCCCTCTCTCCATTGGTGTTGTTATTGGGGTTGGCCCCTCTCTCCCATTGGTGGTGTTATTGGGGTTGGCCCCTCTCTCCATTGTCTGCTGTCCCAGTCGTGGATGTAAGCAAATGCTTTGTTGGTGTGGTTGCATCAGCCAGCGCTAGCTAGCTGTCAAAGTCGCCGGTCAGGCCATTGTCTGAACTACGCTAAAGAATAGCTGCCCGGGGGTCTTTATTTCAGCCTCTCAGTCACAAACTATGACAAAAAACTGCACTCAGCCACTATTTCTGCCTACAATGAATGAAGTCAACTTTGGGGCCTGTAATTCACTGCACCACAAACGAGAGAAGCTGTAGTGTTTGTGAACAACCGTACTCGGTCACGGTGTGATAATATCTATGAGGGGAAGGGAATAGACTCATCGTCAAATGGCACTCTGAGACGGACAAAACCGAGCTGATCTTGTGACTGAGAGACGATCTTTGACAGCGTCCAGGTGTGTCCTCAACTCCTGTTTCTGTCCTGAGCAGAGTCCAAGGTGTGAACCTGATGATGATGATGATGCACTCTTGGAACAAAACGTTGTGTAACTAAAGCCTAATTAAAGGTATGTGGTGGAGCGTTGTCATGTGTGTTGGTAATATTTAATCTTTGCAGTTGTTTTCTGACCTCCCCCTGGCCTCCTTTGTGATGTGGAGCAGACATTTAGACTAACAGTATAAATCACGTGCCGCTTTCTATTGCACTGTTTTGTTTGTTATGACGACTGACTAACTTATACAATTTTACTGACTGGAGCTAAGGGCTTCACAATGCTTTATAATGCATTATAGGGCTTCATATGGTGTTATAATGCTTCATAAGCCTTTAAGGCTTTACCCTATAATACTAGTGTGCACTTCATTGATCACTACTGCCTCATTAAAAGCCAGTGTGGGCCTGATCGTGATCTATCTAATAACTATCATTAAAAGCCAGTGTGGGCCTGATCGTGATCCATCTAATAACTATCATTAAAAGCCAGTGTGGGCCTGATCGTGATCCATCTAATAACTATCATTAAAAGCCAGTGTGGGGGATCCATCTATAACTATCATTAAAAGCCAGTGTGGGCCTGATCGTGATCCATCTAATAACTATCATTAAAAGCCAGTGTGGGCCTGATCGTGATCCATCTAATAACTATCATTAAAAGCCAGTGTGGGCCTGATCGTGATCCATCTAATAACTATCATTAAAAGCCAGTGTGGGCCTGATCGTGATCCATCTAATAACTATCATTTAAAAGCCAGTGTGGTCGTGATCTATCATTTTCCTCCATAGTTATGTTGTGTACTTGGATTGGAAAATTGCACTATGACTTCGTCTATCAGGAAGAATACTCTACACATTCATTAGCTCAGTGCGAGCTATGCAGATTTCCTAACAATGTCTGTTTCAGATTTCATTACTCCGCTGTACCCAACTCCTCCTTGTTTTAGGGTTTGTTTTGGAGCCTAGCTCCTATTTCCTCTGACCAGAAAAACACCTGGAAAATGAGTTGGAAATTTGAGGAAGAGATTTACAGCCATGATTATCCACCATCGTGCAGTGTAGTAAAAACACACAAGCCTCTGATCAGGTTAATGTGTAGCTGGAAAAAAGACATACACACACACAAACAAAAAAACACACACGTCTGCAAATTATTTTCAAAGTCAGCCAGAAGTAACTGCAGTTACAGATGTAGGAGAACTTTCAAACTTGTAGTTTATTTGAGGTTTAAAAATGCTTCTGAAATTTGTAATTTCCACTTTGAAATTTCGGACTTGAAAACCAAACACTGCATTCCACAGTAAGAACCTCATACCAATGGTCAAGCGTGGTGGTGGTGGTGTGATGGTTTGGGGATGCTTTGCTGCCTCAGGACCTGGACGACACGCCTTAATAGAAGGAACCATGAATTCTGCTCTGTATCAGAGAATTCTACAGGAGAATGTCAGACCATCCGTCTGTGAGCTGAAGCTGAAGCGCAGCTGGTTCATGCAGCAAGACAATTATCCAAAACACACATGCACGTCTACATCAGAATGGTTAAAAAGCAACAAATATAATGTTTTGGAGTGGCCTAGTCAAAGTCCAGACCTAAACCCCATTGAGATGTTGTGGCAGGACCTGAAACGAGCAGTTTCATGCAAAATAAAATAAAAAAAAATAGCTGAATTACTTTTTCACAGATGGTCATTGGGTGTTGCATAACTTTATTTATTAAATAAATGAAATAAGTATCACATTTTCTGTTATTTGTTCACTCAGGTTCCCTTTATCTAATATTAGGTTTTGGTTGAAGATCTGATAACATTCAGTGTAAAAAATATGCAAAAATTGAGAAAATCAGAAAGGGGCCAAATACTTTTTTCACGGCACTGTATTGTACGCCATTAAAAATAGCCTCGGCTCTTTCTCTCTGTGTTCTTGTCTAGCCATGGCATACTGCCGCTTTCCTCATGAGGCTTCCACGTCTCTTCCTGTTTTCACTGCTCTAGTTCAGGAGGCATGTGTTTTATTGCAATCACCAACCTTTTCACAGTCAAGATCACTTTCACAGTCAAGATCACTTTCACAGTCAAGATCACTTTCACAGTCAAGATCACTTTCGCAGTCAAAAAGCAAGCCGAGATCCTTTCAGAAAAAAAATTAAATAAAAAAAATGGACTTGTAATGTAAGACCTGGTGCCGCTTTAAATGACGTGCAGCTTCATAAAGCCTTCATAAAGCCTTCATAAAGCCTTCATAGACACTACATAAATGTGTTACGAATCATCTATAACTGTATGTGTCATGCTTTATAAAGGGTTCATAAATGTGGCATAACTATGTGACATAAACGCCAATGTCAAATGTGACATAACCCACTATGTCAAATATGACATAAACCTGTGCTTTAGAAAGGGTGGCATAAGCCCAGCTTAATAAAGGCCTTATAAATAATATTAAATTGAGGCGTCACAAAGCATGCATGTTGGTAGAGCATTGCAATGCCAGGATATTGGGTTCGATTCCCGGGACCACCCATACATAAAAATGTATTCACACATGACTGTATGAATTAATGAATGAATGAATGAATGACATTTTATTTTAGTGTCAAATCGCATAAACAAACATTACAATAATTCACTGTGATAATTCAGTGATAATTCTTCCGGTGTTCTCTGCAGTGCGCATCGCATAAAGAGTGAAAAGATTAAAGATAAAAATCAATACATAATAGTAAATCAATCAAATTCAATCAATCACATTTTATTTATAAAGCCCTTTTTACATCAGCAGATGTCACAACGTGCTATACAGAAACCCAGCCTAAAACCCCAAACAGCAAGCAATGCAGATGTATAATTATATCCCTAGAGCAGTAAAACAATATACATACACTACCAGTCAAAAGTTTTAGAACACCTACTCATTCATGGGTTTTTCTTTATTTTTACTATTTTCTACATTGTAGAATAATAGTGAAGACATCAAAACTATGAAATAACACATATGGAATCATGTAGTAACCAAAAAAGTGTTAAACAAATCAAAATGTTATATTTGAGATTCTTCAAATTGCCACCCTTTGCCTTGATGACAGCTTTGCACACTCTTGGCATTCTCTCAACCAGCTTCATGAGGTAGTCACCTGGATTGCATTTCAATTAACAGGTGTACCTTCTTAAAAGTTAATTTGTGGAATTTATTTCCTTCTTAATGCGTTTGAGCCAATCAATTGTGTTGTGACAAGGTAGGGGGGGTATACAGAAGATAGCCCTATTTGGTAAAACACCAAGTCCATATTATGGCAAGAACAGCTCAAATAAGCAAAGAGAAACGACAGTCCATCATTACTTTAAGACATGAAGGTCAGTCAATCCGGAAAATTCCAAGAACTTTGAAAGTTTCTTCAAGTGCAGTCTCAAAAACCATCAAGCGCTATGATGAAACTGGCTCTCATGAGGACCGCCACAGAAATGGAAGACCCAGAGTTACCTCTGCTGCAGAGGATAAGTTCAATAGAGTTACCAGCCTCAGAAATTGCAGCCCAAATAAATGCTTCACAGAGTTCAAGTAACAGACACATCTCAACATCAACTGTTCAGATGAGATTGTGTGAATCAGGCCTTCATGGTCGAATTGCTGCAAAGAAACCACTACTAAAGGACACCAATAAGAAGAAGAGACTTGCTTGGGCCAAGAAACACGAGCAATGGACATTAGACCGGTGGAAATGTGTATTTTGGTCTGGAGTCCAAATCTGTGATTTTTGGTTCCAAACGCTGTGTCTTTGTGAGACACTTTGTGGGTGAACAGATGATCTCCGCAAATGTATTTCCCACCGTAAAGCATGGAGGTGGAGGTGTTATGGTGTGGGGGTGCTTTGCTGGTGACACTGTCTGTGATTTATTTAGAATTCAAGGCACACTTAACCAGTATGGCTACCGCAGCATTCTGCAGCGATACGCCATCCCATCTTGTTTGGGCTTAGTGGGACTATCATTTGTTTTTCAACAGGACAATGACCCAACACACCTCCAGGCTGTGTAAGGGCTATTTTACCAAGAAGGAGATTGATGGAGTGCTGCATCAGATGACCTGGCCTCCACAATCCTTGTTAACAAACTATAGTTTTGGCAAGTTGTTTAGGACATCTACTTTGTGCATGACACAAGTCATTTTTCCAACAATTGTTTACAGACAGATTATTTCACTTATAATTCACTGTATCACAATTCCAGTGGATCAGAAGTTTACATACACTAAGTTGACTGTGCCTTTAAACAGCTTGGAAAATTCCAGAAAATGATGTCATGGCTTTAGAAGCTTCTGATAGGCTAGTTGACATAATTTGAGTCCATTGGAGGTGTACCTGTGGATGTATTTCAAGGCCTACCTTCAAACTCAGTGCCTCTTTGCTTGACATCATGGGAAAATCAAAAGAAATCAGCCAAGACCTCAGAAGAAAAATGGTAGACCTCCACAAGTCTGGTTCATCCTTGGGAGCAATTTCCAAACGCCTGAAGGTACCAAGTTCATCTGTCCAAACAATAGTACGCAAGTATAAACACCATGGGACCACGCAGCCGTCATACCGCTCAGGAAGGTGACGTGTTTTGTCTCCTAGAGATGAACGTACTTTGGTGTGAAAAGTGCAATTCAATCCCAGAACAACAGCAAAGGACCTTTTTGGAGAAATGTCCTCTGGTCTGATGAAACAAAAATAGAACTGATTGGCCATAATGACCATCGTTATGTTTGGAGGAAAAAGGGGGACGCTTGCAAGCCAAAGAACACCATCCCAACCGTGAAGCACGGGGGTGGCAGCATCATGCTGTGGGGGTGCTTTGCTGCAGGAGGGACTTGTGCACTTCACAAAATAGATGGCATCATGAGGAAGGAAAATTATGTGGATATATTGAAGCAACATCTCAAGACATCAGTCAGGAAGTTAAAGCTTGGTCACAAATGGGTCTTCCAAATGGACAATGACCCCAAGCATACTTCCAAAGTTGTGGCAAAATGGCTTAAGGACAACAAAGTCAAGGTATTGGAGTGGCCATCACAAAGCCCTGACCTCAATCCTATAGAAAATTTGTGGGCAGAACTGAAAAAGTGTGTGCGAGCAAGGAGGCCTACAAACCTGACTCAGTTACTCCAGCTGTGTCAGGAGGAATGGGCCAAAATCCACCCAACTTATTGTGGAAAGCTTGTGGAAGGCTACCCGAAACGTTTGACCCAAGTTAAATAATTTAAAGGCAATGCTACCAAATACTAATTGAGTGTATGTAAACTTCTGATCCACTGGGATTGTGATGAAAGAAATAAAAGCTGAAATAAATCATTCTCTCTACTATTATTCTGACATTTCACATTCTTAAAATAAAGTGGTGATCCTACCTGACCTAAAACAGGGAATTCTTACTATGATTAAATGTCAGGAATTGTGAAAAACTGAGTTTAAATGTATTTGGCAAAGGTGTATGTAAACTTCCGACTTCAACTGTATATACACATACATACATACATACATACATACATACATACATACATACATACATACATACATAACATATACAGATAAATAAATACAGAAAAATGAAACAGAAGGCCTTTGAACCAAGTCTGGCACAAAGGGAAGATTCATATGGGAGACAAACCTATACACAAGAAAGCTAAGCATTTTTCTAATTTAATTATAGGTAGCTCTTTTTATTCCAGGCTGTAAGTCGCTTTGGATAAAAGTGTCTGATAAATGTTTTGATATTATATTTTCACTAAAACATTTCATAGGATGGCCCAACCGCTTTCCCTCTTGGGTGCATAGTCGATATTGGACCTGACCTCAACTTCTCCCAGAATGCTGTGCTGCAGGATGAGACACTAAAGTGCAGTCATGCACAGCAGAACACGTTCTTTTAAAATCCGTTTAGATTTTTTGCTTCTACTTCTGTTTTTTTTTCTCCTAAATTCCGTTTTCTTGGTTTTGTTTTTTTCCAGGTTTTTAGATTTTCAAAAAAGAAATCTGGTTTTCCCCAGATTTTTCATACTTTTTTAATAGAAAAACAACAACATTTTATTTTCTGTGTTCACAACATTGCTTAAACCACATCAGGGGGGGGACGACTTTTTAGTTGTCCTTTAATTCAGTGAGCATGCCCTGCACTGTTGTTTTGGTTATAGGGTTTTCTGAAGTGCAGTAAGCCACGTGTGATGTGATTCGTCCGCCAATGGAATGGGCGGAGTAAAAGGCCGGCAACACTCCCTATTACTCATAGCCCAATGAAATGACACCGTATATACATTCTACAGACCCTACTGAGCATTCCCTACAACACATTTACTGCTGAACCCAGAATAGTTCTTGCTCTAAGCCGATATATACAGTGATTCGCATTGGGGGGCTTTTATTTGACCTCGGAACATGTTTTAGAACCAAAATGTAATGCAAATGTCACTTAAATATGAACAAATATGAATCACTGTTAATATTTAGACAATTATTTTTCATATATCATGAATGGTGATTGACACTTTTCTACTATTACGTGGGGGACTTTTATTTTGAACATTTTTGAAAATTCCGTGACCCGGAAGTACTTTTTTAGTGTCGCTGACGAGACGCTGATCATGTGTTGAGTTCACAAATCAAATGCCGCACTTGTGCTGCCCCTGGACAGTGAAAAACAAGTAAGTTAACCTTTTATTTATTGTCATTTAAATTATACTGAACAAAAATATATATGCAACATGCAACAATTTCAAAGATTTTACTGAGTTACAGTTCATAGAAGGAAATAAGTCAATTTAAATACATTCATTAGGTCCTAGTTTATGGATCTCACATGACTGGGCAGGGGCGCAGCCATGTGTGGGCCTGGGAGGGCATAGGGCCCAGCCAATCGCTCCCTCAAAACTTGATACATCTGTAGCATTGTGTGTTGTAACAAAACTGCACATTTTACAGTGGCCTTTTATTCTCCCCAGCACAAGGTGCACCTATGTAATGATCATGCTGTTTAATCAGCTTGTTGATATGCCACACCTGTCAGGTGGCTGGATTATCTTGGAAAATGAAAAATGGGATGTAAACAAATTTGTGCACAAACTTTGAGAGAAATATGTTTTTTGTGCGTATGGAACATTTCTGGGATCTTTTATTTCAGCTCATGAAACATGGGACCAACACTTAACATGTTGTGTTTATATTTTTGTTAAGTAGAGTTTGTAGTAGTTAAGTGTTGAGTTAGATTATATACTGTAGCTACCTCAACCGCTATTTCAAATACTTTTGGTGACTTCACAGCAAACGCTAGCTAGCCAAAATGTAGCTAGCTAGCAGGATCAGCTAAATACAAATCCCCCTTAGATACAGCCACGTCTCATAATCACGTCATGAGATTTGTAAATGAAAGAGGAATATAATAAAATGAATTGAATGGAGTTTCCCATCTTCCCATTCAGAGTATTTCTGGTGCAGCACAGACATGCCCTTATCCGGATGATGTGACAAAGGCATTTCATAACAGACCTGCTAACTTTCTTTGTTGTTACTTTTTAAGGTTGGAACCAACATGCAGTGCCTCCAGCAGGAAGAGAGGTAAAGAACCATTCGTCCTCCAGCTCAGAGACAAGCTGCTGTCACGATCGTCGTAATGAGTGGACCAAGGCGCAGCGTGAAATGCGTACATCTTTTATTGAGTACTATTAACAATAACAAAACAACAAAACGAAACGTGAAGTCCTCGGTCATAAACACAAACCTACACGGAACAAGATCCCACAAAACTAACACATAGAAACTAACACCCTGGCTCAACATATAAAAGTCCCCAGAGCCAGGGCGTGACAGCTGCACTATTCACAGCCCTGTGGAATGTTCAATGTAATTGCATTGCTGGACTTTTTTAGAAAACTTCATGTATTTGTATTGTTTTAAAAAATGTACAATAAAAGGAAACGTATGGTTTAAACATGTCTTTAATGTTTATTGGTTTTAGCTGTTAGTGATCATTCCCTAAGTGTTAATCCATTTGTGTTTACATCATTAAACCTTTATGTATGCGTTATAAAGGACCAAATGATTCTGACTTTATAGTAAGTACAGCGTCATGGGATACAGAGTCTTTATGGATGTGTTATGAATGACCGAAGGAGTCTGACTTCAAACTAAGTATTACAGGACACTACATGAAGCGTCAATAAATTGGTTATTTACATTCTGCTGATTTTATGAAGGTTCTCTCATGATCCACAGGTTACTGTAGGGTGTGAGAGGTATTTAAATGGGTTGATGGACCTGCAAAGCGTGTGTGTGTGTGTGTGTGTGCGCGCGTGCGTGCGTGCGTGTGTATGTGTGTCAGAACCAAGATGATTTGGAGTAGTCCAACCTGAGACTATTCCTCTTCTAGGCCCTCAAAATTGCCAAAGACTCCAGCCACCCTAGTCATAGACTGTTGTCTCTGCTACCGCACGGCAAGCGGTACCGGAGCGCCAAGTCTAGGTCCAAAAGGCTTCTTAACAGCTTCTACCCCCAAGCTATAAGACTCCTGAACATCTAATCAAATGGCTACCCGGACTATTGAAAAATAAGCAAATAATTAGCTATTTTACTGGACTGATGGTAGGTTACTTGCATCTGATGGTCATGGTACTTTCAAGACAACTGGGAACTCTGGGGGAAAAAAACAGGTATAATCATGACGTCGGTGTTCTTCAGGTCGGAAAATCGGAGCAGAAATGTTTGGTGATCGACTAGGAAGTCCTTGATCCACCGGTTGGTGACCACTGGTTTATTGTGATCAGACGATAATGACATAATGTCACTGAAATGATCTGCAGTCAGAGAAATCAGAGCTGCATCAAGACAGCTGGAAGGAAGGGTAACAGGATGATTTACACTGTTAATATGCTTCTCACTTATTCTAACATCTCCTCTCCTCTCCTCTCCTCTCCCTCTCCTCTCTCCTCTCCTCTCCTCTCCTCTCCTCTCCTCATCCTCTCCTCTCTCTCCTCCATCTCCTCTCCTCTCCAGTTTACCCTGGCTGACCAGTGCTGGAATGGCGGGCTGCATCTACCTGATCATGCTCCGGAGGATCAAGCGTAAAGCCCCTCTCCCTCCATGCAATGGAAACGGCAACGCCACCATCACTGGTGGCACCGGTGGGATCTACGGTGGATCCACCCACTCCCTGGATGACCTGAGCAGCATCTCCTCCGAGCCTCCCAGTAGCCCGCCGACGCAGAACGGGGATGGCAAACGTATGCGGAAATTCGGCGTCATCTCCCGGTCGTCGTTCAATCGTGATAGTAAAGACAGTAAGGAAGGTAGCTGTGACGATGGCGGCAGGGAGAGGCTGGAGAATGGTTACCACGTCTACGGAGGCTCCACCTTTTCCATGGAGACGGAGGTCACTGAGGTCATGCCCCCGGAGGGGGGGCCAGGACCAGGAAGAAAGGATGAGGGGCCCGTGACTGTCCTGCCCCCTCTAGCAATCCCCCATCACCTGCAGAACGGGGGAAGGACTGCCACCCTGCCGAACCGCTCCCACAGGAAACTGTCAGAACACAAGACAGAGTCACTCAGCAGTGATACCTCCAGTCAGGTAAGACAGACAGAATCACTCAGCAGTGATACCTCCAGTCAGGTAAGACAGACAGAATCACTCAGCAGTGATACCTCCAGTCAGGTAAGACAGACAGAGTCACTCAGCAGTGATACCTCCAGTCAGGTAAGACAGACAGAGTCACTCAGCAGTGATACCTCCAGTCAGGTAAGACAGACAGAATCACTCCAGCGAGTGATACCATCCAGTCAGGTAAGACAGACAGAAATCACTCAGCAGTGATACCTCCAGTCAGGTAAGACAGACAGAATCACTCAGCAGTGATACCTCCAGTCAGGTAAGACAGACAGAATCACTCAGCAGTGATACCTCCAGTCAGGTAAGACAGACAGAATCACTCAGCAGTGATACCTCCAGTCAGGTAAGACAGACAGAATCACTCAGCAGGATACCTCCAGTCAGGTAAGACAGACAGAATCACTCAGCAGTGATACCTCCAGTCAGGTAAGACAGACAGAATCACTCAGCAGTGATACCTCCAGTCAGGTAAGACAGACAGAATCACTCAGCAGTGATACCTCCAGTCAGGTAAGACAGACAGAGTCACTCAGCAGTGATATCTCCAGTCAGGTAAGACAGACAGAATCACTCAGCAGTGATATCTCCAGTCAGGTAAGACAGACAGAATCACTCAGCAGTGATACCTCTAGTCAAGGGGCGGCAGGTAGCTTAGTGGTTAAGAGCGTTGTGCCAGTAACCGAAAGGTCGCTGGTTCTAATCCCCGAGCCGACTAGGTGAAAAATCTTCCATTTATCACAAGGGGGCAATAGCAGAGATTTTCTTGTTGTTGTCTTCCCATTTGTGATAAAAGTAAAGAAGAATCACATTTAACACATCATCACCACTGCTAGCTAATTTAATTGAAAACGAACTGCATATTTGAATAATAGCTACATGTAATGAAAGTTTAGGTTTGTTTTACATTACCTCGTTTTGTGCCTGCCAGTTGGCTGTAGGCTACTCCGCTAGCAGCTTGCTAGCTAAGCTTCCCACATCTCCCCCATGTGAAATAATCAGACTTATAATTTAAAAAAAATATGCCCTGGCAAATATTCTTTACTTGCCAGTGTACTTGCCAGTGTAATCTCCAGCATTATCCCAGTTTGATATGCTGCTTGGAATATATTCACTCCCATATTAGCTAATAATAGAATATCCTGTTTTGGTCGCCGTGTAAAAGCACATACATTACCGGTCAAAAGTTTTAGAACGACCTACTCATTCAAGGGTTTTTCTTAATTTTTACTATTTTCTACATTGTTAGAATAATAGTGAAGACATCAAAACTATAAAATAACACATATGGAATCATGTAGTAACCAGAAAAGTGTTAAACAAATCAAAATATATATTTTATATTTGAGATTCTTCAAATAGCCGGCACTCAGACAGCAGTCTGTTTTCAAAAGGGTTTATTTTCGTGTTTCTCTCTCTACCTTTGGTGTTATTGGGGTTGGCCCCTCTCTCCATTGGTGTTATTGGGGTTGGCCCCTCTCTCCCATTGGTGTTGTTATTGGGGTTGGCCCCTCTCTCCCATTGGTGTTGTTATTGGGGTTGGCCCCTCTCTCCATTGGTGGTGTTATTGGGGTTGGCCCCTCTCTCCCATTGGTGTTGTTATTGGGGTTGGCCCCTCTCTCCATTGGTGGTGTTATTGGGGTTGGCCCCTCTCTCCATTGGTGTTGTTATTGGGGTTGGCCCCCCTCTCTCCATTGGTGGTGTTATTGGGGTTGGCCCCTCTCTCCCATTGGTGGTGTTATTGGGGTTGGCCCCTCTCTCCCATTGGTGTTGTTATTGGGGTTGGCCCCTCTCTCCATTGGTGTTGTTATTGGGGTTGGCCCCTCTCTCCCATTGGTGGTGTTATTGGGGTTGGCCCCTCTCTCCCATTGGTGGTGTTATTGGGGTTGGCCCCTCTCTCCATTGGTATTGTTATTGGGGTTGGCCCCTCTCTCCCATTGGTGGTGTTATTGGGGTTGGCCCCTCTCTCCCATTGGTGGTGTTATTGGGGTTGGCCCCTCTCTCCCATTGGTGGTGTTATTGGGGTTGGCCCCTCTCTCCCATTGGTGTTGTTATTGGGGTTGGCCCCTCTCTCCCATTGGTGTTGTTATTGGGGTTGGCCCCTCTCTCCCATTGGTGTTGTTATTGGGGTTGGCCCCTCTCTCCCATTGGTGGTGTTATTGGGGTTGGCCCCTCTCTCCCATTGGTGGTGTTATTGGGGTTGGCCCCTCTCTCCATTGGTGTTGTTATTTACAGTGGTCCTCTGTAGCTCAGCTGGTAGAGCACGGCGCTTGTAACGCTAAGGTAGTGGGTTCGATCCCCGGGACCACCCATACACAAAAAAAATAAAAATAAAAATGTATGCACGCATGACTGTAAGTCGCTTTGGATAAAAGCGTCTGCTAAATGGCAATTAAAAAAAAAAAAAAAAATTATTGGGGTTGGCCCCTCTCTCCCATTGTCTGCTGTCCCAGTCTGCCTTGAGGTCCTGACAGGCCAGGCTGGTTTACAGTTTGAAGACAAGGCCAGGCTTGTTTACAGTTTGAAGTCAAGGCCAGGCTGGTTTACAGTTTGAAGACAAGGCATTATGCAAAAAGATGGGTCACTTCCAGACATCAGCGTGGTCCTCTGTAGCTCAATTGGTAGAGCGCGGCGCTTGTAACGCCAGGGTAGTGGGTTCGATCCCTGGGACCACCCATACGTAAAAATGTATGCGCACATGACTGTAAGTCGCTTTGGATAAAAGCGTCTGCTAAATGGCATATTATTATTATTATTATTATTATTATTATTATTATAATAAGACCAAACTGAGGAGAAAACAATAGTAATTAATGACATGAGTCATTCTGTTGTTCATAGTGGCCCATCTTCCTTCTAAATGTGGATTACGTTAGCTATATGTTGAGTTAGCTTTTCTTCAGAATACTGTAATCCTGCCCACAAACTCTCCCATGGACACCCATGAGTCATCCACAGGGACTAACCTCACCACATGACCACAGACAAAGTGGATCAATGCTAAACCAAACACACAACAGCGCGCTACTGTTAACTAGAACTACTTGTAACGTAGACGCTGGGAGTCGAGAAGCAGGTGGTAAGTTTAATAGAACAAAGAACATGGAACGACACAACATAAGAGGAGCGTCTTGAAACAACACTACCTGGGGAAAGAACCTAAGGGAGTGCCAGATAAAGGGGAGGTAACGGAGTCCAGGTGTGCCTCATGATGAAGCGCAGGTGCCCGTAATGATGGTTACCAGGTGCGCGTAATGATGGTTACCAGGTGCGCGAAATGATGGTTACCAGGTGCGCGTAATGATGGTTACCAGGTGCGCGTAATGATGGTTAACAGGTGCGCGTAATGATGGTTACCAGGTGCGCGTAATGATGGTTACCAGGTGCACGTAATGACGGTTACCAGGTGCGCGTCATGATGGTTACCAGGTGCACGTAATGATGGTTACCAGGTGCGCGTAATGATGGTTACCAGGTGCGCGTAATGATGGTTACCAGGTGCGCGTAATGACGGTTACCAGGTGCACGTAATGATGGTTACCAGGTGCACGTAATGATGGTTACCAGGTGCACGTAATGATGGTTACCAGGTGCACGTAATGATGGTTACCAGGTGCGCGTAATGATGGTTACCAGGTGCGCGTAATGATGGTTACATTTTACATTTTACATTTTAGTCATTTAGCAGACGCTCTTATCCAGAGCGATTTTTTTTTTTTTTTTTCATACTGGCCCCCCGTGGGAATCGAACCCACAACCCACAACGCCATGCTCTACCAACTGAGCTACATCCCTGCCGGCCATTCCCTCCCCTAACCTGGACAACGCTGGGCCAATTGTGCACAGCCCCATGGGTTACCAGGTGCGCGTAATGATGGTTACCAGGACCGGTGGTTAGTAGACCGGCGACGTCGAACGCCGGAGGGGGAGGAGCGGGAGGAGACACTACTGTTATAGATTCTACTGTAAAGCCGGAGGGGGGGAGCGGGAGGAGACACTACTGTTATAGATTCTACTGTAAAGCCGGAGGGGGAGGAGCGGGAGGAGACACTACTGTTATAGATTCTACTGTAAAGCTCCAACAGACGATGAACCCAAGATTCATTTGACATTTTAGTCATTTAGCAGACGCTCTTATCTAGAGCGACTTACAGTTAAGTGAGTGCATACATTTTTCATACTGGCCCCCACGTGGGAGTCAAACCCACAACCCTGGCGTTGCAAGCGCCATGCTCTACCAACTGAGCTACAGGAGGATGATTGAACATGCAGTTATTACATGAAAAAATACTACAGTTTTAGTATAGAATACAAGAGTACTTACTATATAATTCTATAGTAACTGTAGTAACTCATTATTAGGAAGGTGTTCTTAATGTTTTGTACACTCAGTGTATATGTGCCATGTAACCATCAGTGGCTCTTAATGCGGATTACAGTAGCTATATGTTGACATTAGGAACACCTGCTCTTTACACGACATAGACTGACCAGGTGAATCCAGGTGAAAGCTATGATCCCTTATGTCACTTCAGTCAGGACTAGGAGAGGACTAGCCGTTGGATAAGGGTTAGGGTTGGGAGAGGAGAGGAGAGGACTAGCCGTTGGATAAGGGTTAGGGTTGGGAGAGGAGAGGACTAGCCGTTGGATAAGGGTTAGGGTTGGGAGAGGAGAGGACTAGCCGTTGGATAAGGTTTAGGGTTAGGAGAGGAGAGGACTAGCCGTTGGGTAAGGGTTAGGGTTAGGAGAGGAGAGGACTAGCCGTTGGATAAGGGTTAGGTTTGGGAGAGGAGAGGAGAGGACTAGCCATTGGATAAGGGTTAGGGTTGGGAGAGGAGAGGACTAGCCGTTGGATAAGGGTTAGGGTTGGGAGAGGAGAGGACTAGCCGTTGGATGAGGGTTAGGGTTGGGAGAGGAGAGGACTAGCCGTTGGATAAGGGTTAGGGTTGGGAGAGGAGAGGAGAGGACTAGCCGTTGGGTAAGGGTTAGGGTTGGGAGAGGAGAGGACTAGCCGTTGGATAAGGGTTAGGGTTGGGAGAGGAGAGGACTAGCCGTTGGGTAAGGTTTAGGGTTGGGAGAGGAGAGGAGAGGACTAGCCATTGGATAATGGTTAGGGTTGGGAGAGGAGAGGAGAGGACTAGCCATTGGATAAGGGTTAGGGTTGGGAGAGGAGAGGACTAGCCGTTGGATAAGGGTTAGGGTTGGGAGAGGAGAGGACTAGCCGTTGGATAAGGGTTAGGGTTGGGAGAGGAGAGGACTAGCCGTTGGATAAGGGTTAGGGTTGGGAGAGGAGAGGACTAGCCGTTGGATAAGGGTTAGGGTTGGGAGAGGAGAGGAGAGGACTAGCCGTTGGGTAAGGGTTAGGGTTGGGAGAGGACTAGCCGTTGGATAAGGGTTAGGGTTGGGAGAGGAGAAGACTAGCTGTTGGGTAAGGGTTAGGGCTGGGAAAGGAGAGGACTAGCCGTTGGATAAGGGTTAGGGTTGGGAGAGGAGAGGAGAGGACTAGCCGTTGGATAAGGGTTGGGGTTGGGAGAGGAGAGGAGAGGACTAACCGTTGGATAAGGTTTAGGGTTGGGAGAGGAGAGGACTAGCCGTTGGATAAGGGTTAGGGTTGGGAGAGGAGAGGACTAGCCGTTGGATAAGGGTTAGGGTTGGGAGAGGAGAGGACTAGCCATTGGATAAGGGTTAGGGTTGGGAGAGGAGAGGACTAGCCGTTGGATAAGGGTTAGGGTTGGGAGAGGAGAGGACTAGCCGTTGGATAAGGGTTAGGGTTGGGAGAGGAGAGGAGAGGAGAGGACTAGCCGTTGGGTAAGGGTTAGGGTTGGGAGAGGAGAGGAGAGGACTAGCCGTTGGATAAGGGTTAGGATTGGGAGAGGAGAGGAGAGGACTAGCCGTTGGGTAAGGGTTAGGGTTGGGAGAGGAGAGGAGAGGACTAGCCGTTGGGTAAGGGTTAGGGTTGGGAGAGGAGAGGAGAGGACTAGCCATTGGATAAGGGTTAGGGTTGGGAGAGGAGAGGACTAGCCATTGGATAAGGGTTAGGGTTGGGAGAGGAGAGGACTAGCCGTTGGATAAGGGTTAGGGTTGGGAGAGGAGAGGACTAGCCGTTGGGTAAGGGTTAGGGTTGGGAGAGGAGAGGACTAGCCGTTGGGTAAGGGTTAGGGTTGGGAGAGGAGAGGACTAGCCGTTGGGTAAGGGTTAGGGTTGGGAGAGGGGAGGACTAGCCGTTGGGTAAGGGTTGGGGTTGGGAGAGGAGCGGAGAGGACTAGCCGTTGGATAAGGGTTAGGGTTGGGAGAGGAGAGGAGAGGACTAGCCGTTGGATAAGGGTTAGGATTGGGAGAGGGGAGGACTAGCCGTTGGGTAAGGGTTAGGGTTGGGAGAGGAGAGGACTAGCCGTTGGATAAGGGTTAGGATTGGGAGAGGGGAGGACTAGCCGTTGGGTAAGGGTTAAGGTTGGGAAAGGAGAGGACTAGCCATTGGGTAAGGGTTAGGGTTGGGAGAGGAGAGGACTAGCCGTTGGGTAAGGGTTAGGGTTGGGAGAGGAGAGGACTAGCCGTTGGGTAAGGGTTAGGGTTGGGAGAGGGGAGGACTAGCCGTTGGGTAAGGGTTAGGGTTGGGAGAGGAGAGGACTAGCCGTTGGATAAGGGTTAGGTTTGGGAGAGGAGAGGAGAGGTCTAGCCATTGGATAAGGGTTAGGGTTGGGAGAGGGGAGGACTAGCCGTTGGGTAAGGGTTAGGGTTGGGAGAGGAGAGGAGAGGACTAGCCGTTGGATAAGGGTTAGGGTTGGGAGAGGAGAGGACTAGCCGTTGGGTAAGGGTTAGGGTTGGGAGAGGAGAGGACTAGCCGTTGGGTAAGGGTTAAGGTTGGGAAAGGAGAGGACTAGCCATTGGATAAGGTTTAGGGTTGGGAGAGGTGAGGAGAGGAGAGGACTAGCCGTTGTATAAGGGTTAAGGTTGGGAGAGGTGAGGAGAGGACTAGCCGTTGGATAAGGTTTAGGGTTGGGAGAGGTGAGGAGAGGAGAGGACTAGCCGTTGTATAAGGGTTAAGGTTGGGAGAGGTGAGGAGAGGACTAGCCGTTGGATAAGGATTAAGGTTGGGAGAGGAGATGAGAGGACTAGCCTTTGGATAAGGGTTAGGGTTGGGAGAGGAGAGGACTAGCCGTTGGGTAAGGGTTAAGGTTGGGAAAGGAGAGGACTAGCCATTGGATAAGGTTTAGGGTTGGGAGAGGTGAGGAGAGGAGAGGACTAGCCGTTGTATAAGGGTTAAGGTTGGGAGAGGTGAGGAGAGGACTAGCCGTTGGATAAGGATTAAGGTTGGGAGAGGAGAGGAGAGGACTAGCCGTTGGATAAGGGTTAGGGTTGGGAGAGGAGAGGAGAGGACTAGCCGTTGGATAAGGGTTAGGATTGGGAGAGGAGAGGAGAGGACTAGCCGTTGGATAAGGGTTGGGAGAGGAGAGAACTAGCCCAGACAAGTTTGTCCCTGACTGACTCACTGTCCTCGGGTGGCTCCCACACAACATCTTCCGACAAGACTGGGAACTGTTCAAATTAATCTACACAGGGCTTTAACCAAGCCTTTAGTTGACATTATGTTTTTTTTTTAAACATTAAGAGCCACTGACAGTTACATGGCACAGATACACTGAGTGTACAAAACATTAAGAACACCTTCCTAATAAGTAGTGGCTTGTGTTCTATAAGACTGTCAGGCGTTCATGGGAGTTGGGAAGCGTGGACAAGGAAAAGCAATACAGCGTGGGAACTCACATGGATGTGACTGACTGTGACATGTCGGAGGGCCGTGTTGAATGTTGAATGGCAGCTATGCGATGCACTGTGGCTCCACCCTGTCAGATGGGCTGTTGTTTTGGTCTTTGTCTCTACAAATGATTGAGAAAGTTGCACACTCTTGTCTCCTTGCTGTGAATTGACTTATTTAGCTACGTTCCGGCTGAAGAGCTTTCATCGGGGTGAGCTGTTCTGTCTCTCTCACCGTTAACTTAACACCATTCAGGACTAATGGCTGTAGTTGCTGTCAGGGAAAGGAGAGGACTAACCGTTGTGTAAGGGTTGGGAGAGGAGAGGACTAGCCGTTGGGTAAGGGTTAGGGTTGGGAGAGGAGAGGACTAGCCGTTGGATAAGGGTTAGGGTTGGGAGAGGAGAGGAGAGGAGAGGAGAGGACTAGCCGTTGGATAAGGGTTAGGGTTGGGAGAGGAGAGGACTAGCCGTTGGATAAGGGTTAGGATTGGGAGAGGAGAGGAGAGGACTAGCCGTTGGATAAGGGTTGGGATTGGGAGAGGAGAGGAGAGGACTAGCCGTTGGATAAGGGTTAGGATTGGGAGAGGAGAGGACTAGCCGTTGGATAAGGGTTAGGGTTGGGAGAGGACTAGCCGTTGGGTTAGGGTTGGGAGAGGAGTGGACTAGCCGTTGGATAAGGGTTAGGGTTGGGAGAGGAGAGGACTAGCCGTTGGATAAGGGTTAGGGTTGGGAGAGGAGAAGAGAGGACTAACCGTTGGATAAGGTTTAGGGTTGGGAGAGGAGAGGACTAGCCGTTGGATAAGGGTTAGGATTGGGAGAGGAGAGGAGAGGACTAGCCGTTGGATAAGGGTTAGGGTTGGGAGAGGAGAGTACTAGCCGTTGGATAAGGGTTAGGATTGGGAGAGGAGAGGACTAGCCGTTGGATAAGGGTTAGGGTTGGGAGAGGAGAGGAGAGGACTAGCCGTTGGATAAGGGTTGGGAGAGGAGAGAACTAGCCCAGACAAGTTTGTCCCTGACTGACTCACTGTCCTCGGGCGGCTCCCACACAACATCTTCCGACAAGACAAGACAGGATCAGACAGGACAGGACAGGACAGGGGCTTGGTAATACTCACGCTCTCAGAGTGTGTCTGTGTGTGTCTTAAGGCTACAACACTCAGGGTTCTTCTCTTTACTAAACTATACTAGACTGTTGTTTGTGTTTCTCCGAGCAAAACCGTTAACAGAAATGGGAACTGTTCAATTTAATCTACCCAGGGCTTTAACCAAGCCTTTAGTTGACATAATGTTTTTTTTCTTTGCACGTGGCACATACAGTGGGGAGGGCCGGAATTCTTACTGGTTGGTAGGTGATCAAATATTTATGTCATGCAATAAAATGCAAATTAATTACTTAAAAATCATACAATGTGATTTTCTGGATTTTTGTTTTAGATTCCGTCTCTCACAGTTGAAGTGTACCTATGATAAAAATTACAGACCTCTACATGCTTTGTAAGTAGGAAAACCTGCAAAATCGGCAGTGTATCAAATACTTGTTCTCCCCACTGTATATACTGAGAGTACAAAACATTAAGAACACCTTCCTAATAGTGAGTTGCCCCCCCCCCCCCCCAGTCCCCCTATTGCCCTCAGAACAGCCTCAATTCGTAGGGGCATGGACTCTACAAGGTGTCGAAAGCGTTCCACAGGGATGCTTTCCACAGTTGTGTCAAGTTGGCTGGATGTCCTTGGGTGGTTGACAATTCTTGATACACATGGGAAACTGTTGAGCGTGAAAAACCCAGCAGCGTTGCAGTTCTTGACACACTCAAACCAACTGGTGCGCCTGGCACCTACTACCATACCCCGTTCAAAGGCACTTCAATATTTTGTCTTGCCCATTCACCCTCTGAATGGCACACATACACAATCCATGTCTCAATTGTCTCAAGGCTTAAAAATCCTTCTTTAACCTGTCTCCTCCCCTTCATCTACACTGATTTTTAACAGGTGACATCAATAAGGGATCATAGCTTTCACCTGGATTCACCTGGTCAGTCTATGTCGTGCAAAGAGCAGGTGTTTTTAATGTTTTCGTACACTGAGTGTACACCAACCTGTCGTTGTAGCTAATGGTGTGAACTTGGTGTGGGACATTACAACACATATCTGCCGTAGGGGTAATTCCATGGGAACATGGTGACATAGCGCCGTCATTCTGTTACCAAACTTTGCATCTGTTCTTCAAGTAAAATGTTCAATGGAAATTGTTAAAAGTCTTCCTTACATTTACATTTATGTCATTTAGCAGACGCTCTTATCCAGAGCGACTTACAAATTGGTGCATTCACCTTATAGCCAGTGGGACAACCACTTTACAATATGTTTTTTTTTGGGGGGGTAGAAGGATTACTTTATCCTATCCCAGGTATTCCTTAAAGAGGTGGGGTTTCAAATGTCTCCGGAAGGTGGTGAGTGACTCCGCTGTCCTGGCGTTGTGAGGGAGCTTGTTCCACCATTGGGGTGCCAGAGCAGTGAACAGTTTTGACTGGGCTGAGCGGGAACTGTGCTTCCGCAGAGGTAGGGGGGCCAGCAGGCCAGAGGTGGATGAACGCAATGCCCTCGTTTGGGTGTAGGGACTGATCAGAGCCTGAAGGTACGGAGGTGCCGTTCCCCTCACAGCTCCGTAGGCAAGCACCATGGTCTTGTAGCAGATGCGAGCTTCAACTGGAAGCCAGTGGAGTGTGCGGAGGAGCGGGGTGACGTGAGAGAACTTGGGAAGGTTGAACACCAGACGGGCTGCGGCATTCTGGATGAGTTGTAGGGGTTTAATGGCACAGGCAGGGAGCCCAGCCAACAGCGAGTTGCAGTAATCCAGACGGGAGATGACAAGTGCCTGGATTAGGACCTGTGCCGCTTCCTGTGTAAGGCAGGGTCGTACTCTCCGAATGTTGTAGAGCATGAACCTACAGGATCGGGTCACCGCCTTGATGTTAGAACGACAGGGTGTTGTCCAGGGTCACGCCAAGGCTCTTTGCACTCTGGGAGGAGGACACAACGGAGTTTGTCAACCGTGATGGCGAGATCATGGAACGGGCAGTCCTTCCCCGGGAGGAAGAGCAGCTCTGTCTTGCCGAGGTTCAGCTTGAGGTGGTGATCCGTCATCCACACTGATATGTCTGCCAGACATGCAGAGATGCGATTCGCCACCTGGTTATCAGAAGGGGGGAAAGGAGAAGATTAGTTGCGTGTCGTCAGCGTAGCAATGATAGGAGAGGCCATGTGAGGATATGACAGAGTGTGTTTAACCTGGCAATCATTGCTTTTGGCTTACATATTTTAATGTGGAAAATCATTCTGTTACCGTGGAATTGTCCATATCAAGATAGATGCGCTACTTCTTTATAATAAATCATGATGTCTCACCACTATCAGAGTGAACAATGTGGCTCTTATATCTGACTTTTAAAGAAAGACATTGAGTTATTGGAGCTCAAGTTTAGGAGCACACAACCCCTCTAGACTGAACACAAGGTAGTGCTTTACATTGGAATCACTTGAATCACCTTATCAGAGGTTCGTCTGCTGTGGTTTCAGTTGTCACAGACAGGTGCCCCTAAGGATCACTCAGACGCTATTTATAGAATAGGAGGAGAGAGGAGGATGAGGAGAGAGGTAGAGAAGGAGGGGAGAGGAGGAAGAGAGAGATGGAAGAGAGGGGGAGGAGGAGGAGGAGGAGGAGGAGGAGGAGGAAGAGAGAGATGGAAGAGAGGGGGAGGAGGAGGAGGAGGAGGAGGAGGAGAAGGAGGGGAGAGGAGGAAGAGAGAGATGGAAGAGAGGGGGAGGAGGAGGAGGAGGAGGAGGAGGAGGAGGATGAGGAGGAAGAGAGAGATGGAAGAGAGGAGGAGGAGGAGGAGGAGGAGGAAGAGAGGAGGAGGAGGAGGAGGAGGAGAGGAGGAGGAGAGGGAGGAGGGGGAGGAGGGGGAGGGGGAGGAGGAGGAGGAGGAGGGTGTCTTGATCAAACTCCACACCTCTCAGGAACACCTCCCTTTATATCCTAAAGCCTGACAGTTCACTTTATAGAAAACACTTCAGTGGACTGTTTTCTAATGGTGGATTTGAGTTCAACTGTTGTCAAAAAACATTCATTTGTAGAACTATGAGGGTTGTTAGACGTGTTTTTATGTTAGAAAAATATATAAATTAACTGTCAAAATCAAACTTTTGAAGTTAGTTAGATAACATCTCATTATTTTAGAGGACTGTTGGTTTCTTCTGGAAATGTGTCTCCCACATAGTGCTGCAACATTATCAATCTACACTGGAATGGTGCTGCAACATTATCAATCTACACTGGAATGGTACTGCAACATTATCAATCTACACTGGAATGGTGCTGCAACATTATCAATCTACACTGGAATGGTGCTGCAACATTATCAATCTACACTGGAATAGTGCTGCAACATTATCAATCTACACTGGAATGGTACTGCAACATTATCAATCTACACTGGAATAGTGTCTGAACCCTCATTGGTTTGAATGGTGTCAGCGATTTTGATCTTGTATTCTTCTGAACTTAACAACATGAATTGTGGGTATTTAGAGTACTATATAGGTAGACAGCATTGACCAGAACAAGGCTATGTGAATAACTACATGTTTTGACCAGAATTCAAATAGAACCTTATAGTCCCAAGCTCTCGATATATTAGTGTGAGGGGAGTCGTATCAACCATGACCCTAACCCTGTGTGTCCTCCAGCCCAGAGAGGGGAGTCGTATCAACCATGACCCTAACCCTGCGTGTCCTCCAGCCCAGAGAGGGGAGTCGTATCAACCATGACCCTAACCCTGTGTGTCCTCCAGAGAGGGGAGTCGTATCAACCATGACCCTAACCCTGCGTGTCCTCCAGCCCAGAGAGGGGAGTCGTATCAACCATGACCCTAACCCTGTGTGACCCCCAGCCCAGAGAGGGGAGTCGTATCAACCATGACCCTAACCCTGCGTGACCTCCAGCCCAGAGAGGGGAGTCGTATCAACCATGACCCTAACCCTGCGTGACCTCCAGCCCAGAGAGGGGAGTCGTATCAACCATGACCCTAACCCTGTGTGTCCTCCAGCCCAGAGAGGGGAGTCGTATCAACCATGACCCTAACCCTGTGTGACCTCCAGAGAGGGGAGTCGTATCAACCATGACCCTAACCCTGTGTGACCTCCAGAGAGGGGAGTCGTATCAACCATGATCTAACCCTGTGTGACCCCCAGCCCAGAGAGGGGAGTCGTATCAACCATGACCCTAACCCTGTGTGACCTCCAGAGAGGGGAGTCGTATCAACCATGACCCTAACCCTGTGTGACCCCCAGCCCAGAGAGGGGAGTCGTATCAACCATGACCCTAACCCTGTGTGTCCTCCAGAGAGGGGAGTCGTATCAACCATGACCCTAACCCTGCGTGACCCCCAGCCCAGAGAGGGGAGTCGTATCAACCATGACCCTAACCCTGTGTGACCCCCAGCCCAGAGAGGGGAGTCGTATCAACCATGACCCTAACCCTGTGTGACCTCCAGCCCAGAGAGGGGAGTCGTATCAACCATGACCCTAACCCTGTGTGACCCCCAGCCCAGAGAGGGGAGTCGTATCAACCATGACCCTAACCCTGTGTGTCCTCCAGAGAGGGGAGTCGTATCAACCATGACCCTAACCCTGCGTGACCTCCAGCCCAGAGAGGGGAGTCGTATCAACCATGACCCTAACCCTGTGTGACCCCCAGCCCAGAGAGGGGAGTCGTATCAACCATGACCCTAACCCTGTGTGACCTCCAGAGAGGGGAGTCGTATCAACCATGACCCTAACCCTGTGTGTCCTCCAGCCCAGAGAGGGGAGTCGTATCAACCATGACCCTAACCCTGTGTGTCCTCCAGCCCAGAGAGGGGAGTCGTATCAACCATGACCCTAACCCTGTGTGACCTCCAGAGAGGGGAGTCGTATCAACCATGACCCTAACCCTGTGTGACCTCCAGAGAGGGGAGTCGTATCAACCATGACCCTAACCCTGTGTGACCCCCAGCCCAGAGAGGGGAGTCGTATCAACCATGACCCTAACCCTGTGTGACCTCCAGAGAGGGGAGTCGTATCAAATCAAATCAAATTTTATTTGCCACATGCGCCGAATACAACAGGTTACATTACAGTGAAATGCTACTTACAAGCCCTTAACCAACAATGCCGTTTTTAAAGATTTTTATTTTATTTTAAGTGTTAAGTTAAAAAAATAAAATGAGTTTTTTAAATAAAAAAAGTAAAATAAAAAAAGTGAAAGCAAATAATTAAAGAGCAGCAGTAAAATAAAATAACAGTAGGGAGGCTACTGTGAGGGAAAACATTATTTGATCCCCTGCTGATTTTGTACGTTTGCCCACTGGCAAAGACATGATCAGTCTATAATTTTAATGGTAGGTTTATTTGAACAGTGAGAGACAGAATAACAACAAAAAAAATCCAGAAAAATGCATGTCAAAAATGTTATAAATTGATTTGCATTTTAATGAGGGTAATAAGTATTTGACCCCTCTGCAAAACATGACTTAGTACTTGGTGGCAAAACCCTTGTTGGCAATCACAGAGGTCAGACGTTTCTTGTAGTTGGCCACCAGGTTTGCACACATCTCAGGAGGGATTTTGTCCCACTCCTCTTTGCAGATCTTCTCCAAGTCATTAAGGTTTCGAGGCTGACGTTTGGCAACTCAAACCTTCAGCTCCCTCCACAGATTTTCTATGGGATTAAGGTCTGGAGACTGGCTAGGCCACTCCAGGACCTTAATGTGCTTATTCTTGAGCCACTCCTTTGTTGCCTTGGCCGTGTGTTTTGGGTCATTGTCATGCTGGAATACCCATCCACGACCCATTTTCAATGCCCTGGCTGAGGGAAGTAGGTTCTCACCCAAGATTTGAAGGTACATGGCCCCGTCCATCGTCCCTTTGATGTGGTGAAGTTGTTCTGTCCCCTTAGCAGAAAAACAACCCCAAAGCATAATGTTTCCACCTCCATGTTTGACGGTGGGGATGGTGTTCTTGGGGTCATAGGCAGCATTTCTCCTCCTCCAAACACAGCGAGTTGAGTTGATGCCAAAGAGCTCCATTTTGGTCTCATCTGACCACAGCACTTTCACCCAGTTCTCCTCTGAATCATTCAGATGTTCATTGGCAAACTTCAGATGGCCCTGTATATGTGCTTTCTTGAGCAGGGGGACCTTGCGGGCGCTGCAGGATTTCAGTCCTTCACGGCGTAGTGTGCTACCAATTGTTTTCTTGGTGACTATGGTCCCAGCTGCCTTGAGATCATTGACAAGATCCTCCAGTGTAGTTCTGGGCTGATTCCTCACCGTTCTCATGATCATTGCAACTCCACAAGGTGAGATCTTGCATGGAGCCCCAGGCCGAGGGAGATTGACAGTTCTTTTGTGTTTCTTCCATTTGCGAATAATCGCACCAACTGTTGTCACCTTCTCACCAAGCTGCTTGGCGATGGTCTTGTAGCCCATTCCTGCCTTGTGTAGGTCTACAATCTTGTCCCTGACATCCTTGGAGAGCTATTTGGTGTTGGCCATGGTGGAGAGTTTGGAATCTGATTGATTGATTGCTTCTGTGGACAGGTGTCTTTTATACAGGTAACAAACTGAGATTAGGAGCACTCCCTTTAAGAGTGTGCTCCTAATCTCAGCTCGTTACCTGTATAAAAGACACCTGGGAGCCAGAAATCTTTCTGATTGAGAGGGGGTCAAATACTTATTTCCCTCATTAAAATGCAAATCAATTTATAACATTTTTGACATGCGTTATTCTGGATTTTGTTGTTGTTATTCTGTCTTTCACTGTTCAAATAAACCTACCATTAAAATTATAGACTGATCATTTCTTTGTCAGTGGGCAAACGTACAAATCAGCAGTGAATCAAATACTTTTTTCCCTCACTGTACAGTACCGGTGCAGAGTCAATGTGCGGGGGAACCGGTTAGTCGAGGTAATTGAGGTAATATGTACATGTGGATAGAGTTAAAGTGACTACGCATAAATATTAAACAGAGTAGCAGCAGCGTAAAAGAGGGGGATGGGGTGGGGTGGGGGGGCAGTGCAAATAGTCCGGGTAGCCATGATTAGCTGTTCAGGAGTCTTATGGCTTGGGGGTAGAAGCTGTTGAGAAGTCTTTTGGACCTAGACTTGACGCTCCGGTACCGCTTGCCGTGCGGTAGCAGAGAGAACAGTCTATGACTAGGGTGGCTGGAGTCTTTGACAATTTTGAGGGCCTTCCTCTGACACTGCCTGGTATAGAGGTCCTGGATGGCAGGAAGCTTGGGTCGGAGGCCGAGCAGTTGCCATATCAGGCATTGATGCAACCAGTCAGGATGCTCTCGATGGTGCGGCTGTATAACTTTGAGGATCTGAGGACCCATGCCAATTCTTTTCAGTCTCCTTTTCAGTCTTGTGCCCTCTTCACGACTGTGTTGGTGTGTTTGGACCATGATAGCTCCTTAGTGACGTGGACACCGAAGAACATGAACATCTCAACCTGCTCCACTACAGCCCTGTTGATGAGAATGGGGGCATGCTCAGTCCTCTTTTTTTCCCTGTAGTCCACAATCATCTCCTTTGTCTTGATTACGTTGAGGGAGAGGTTGTTATCCTGGCACCACACGGCCAGGTCTCTGACCTCTCATCGTTGTCGGTGATCAGGCCTACCACTGTTGTGTCGTCGGCAAACTTAATGATGGTGTTGGAGTCGTGCCTGGCCATGCAGTCATGGGTGAAGAGGGAGTACAGGAGGGGACTGAGCACGCACCCCTGAGGGGCCCCCGTGTTGAGGATCAGCGTGGCAGATGTGTTGTTACCAACCCTTACCACCTGGGGGCGGTTCATCAGGAAGTCCAGGATCCAGTTGCAGAGGGAGGTGTTTAGTCCCAGGATCCTTAGCTTAGTGATGAGCTTTGAGGGCACTGTGGTGTTGAACGCTGAGCTGTAGTCAATGAATAGCATTCACACGTAGGTGTTCCTCTTGTCCAGGTGGG